GCCAAATCCCAGACTCGTATGCAAGTTATACGCCTCCAAATATTCCTGATTGGAAGCCATTAGCAGCAGAGAAAGGGACTGAAGAGAGCTCCATGAAGGTTGTTGGCAGTTTTCTTGACCAGACCACCCAGAAGTAAGTTCTACGGATTCTAGGGCACAATATTTCTTGCTGTTAACCCTGTGTTTATAGGAATCCAAATACTTTCAGGATTTTCTCTCCAGACGAACTAGTTAGCAACAAGCTTGATGCTGTATTGAACAGAACTGGTCGTAATTTCCAGTGGGACAAGTATTCACGTGCACAGGGCGGCAGAGTAATTGAAATTTTAAGCGAGCACACTTGTCAAGGAATGCTCCAAGGGTATACGTTGACGGGGCGAGTTGGGCTTTTTCCTTCTTACGAGAGTTTCTTGGGCATCATTCACACGATGATGGTGCAGTATAGCAAGTTCATGAAGATGGTAAGACTCACCAGCAGAGGATTTGATATGGAAAGGTTAATCACTGATGGAGCTTTTATGCGCATGGTCTTACAGGCTTTTGAAACCAAATGGAGAATGGACCTAGGAAGTATTAACTACTTGGAAACCAGCACATGGACTCGACAAGAGCACAATGGATTCTCCCATCAAAATCCATCGTTCATTGGAGCTGTACTTAATCTCAAAGCGAAGTCAGCCCGTGTCTATTTGCCGCCTGATGCAAATTGCTTTCTTTCCACCATGGCACACTGCTTAAGGTCCAAGGTAGGTTCAGCATCTGTGTACGCATGGTAAGAATTGCATTATAATCGTGCTAATCAGCGGCATATAGAACTACGTCAATCTCATGGTCGGTTCGAAGCAACCAACTCCAGTTTGGCTATCTGCTGAAGAGGCAGATGCTCACTGCCGCGCCGGTGCCTCAATCTTTAAATTCTGTAGCACTGATTCGGGTCTTGACCCTGATGTAGTACTCGTTGGAATTGGATGCGAAGTGACTTTTGAAGTTATTGCTGCCGCTGCACTTCTAAGAAGATTGGTACTCAGTTTACGAGTACGAGTGGTGAACGTCACAGACTTAATGGTCTTGGGAGCAGAAGGGACGCACCCGCATGCAATGACAAGGGAAGGATTCCATAGTTTGTTTACAGAGGAGAAGGGCATAGTGATGAATTATCATGGTTACGTAAATGACGTTAAAGGATTGTTGTTTGGGCGTCCTGGTGCCGCTGAAAGGATAACCATCGAGGGATATAGAGAGGAAGGAAGTACCACAACACCATTCGATGTAGGTGTGTTATTCTTGAAACCTAAAGAGCTCTGACTGACAAAATATAGATGATGCTCCGTAATAATATGTCAAGATACCATGTGGCTATTCACGCACTTCGGGCCGGGTCATTGAGTAATAGAACTGTACGTCTTGATCAGCACCAGCTCATTAGTGGTCTTGAACACGACATGAAGAAGTGCAGCGGTTACATTATAGCGCATGGGAAAGGTCAGTTCATCCTAAATTACTATGGAAATTCTCAGATGATTAATGGTCATTCCAAAACAGATCCTGAGGGAACATACGATATCCCGAGTTTTGAGTAAACCCCAAAGTATATAGTACAAGCCAGAAGGGTATGCCATACATGGTTACAAAGGATTGTGGTATCCCATGGCCATCAATTTTGGAAAGCCACTTAGTTCAAGCAGGTTGTCCGTTAGCATCTACAGTTTGAAGGGCTTGAAACATAGTTTTTGTTTTGTTTTATTGCACGCACGTTAGTCGTGCCCCGCTATAGCCCCATACGGCCGTATACGAGTATTGAAGCACACACACACACATCCCCCCCTCCTCCTCCAAAAAAAAAAAGAAAGAAAAAAAAAAAGAAAAAAGAAAAGAAAAAAAGGAAGGAAATACGTTGTAAGTCTCAAACCGTTGTGTTTCGTGCATAATGAAAATTTTGTGCAGGAAAAGCCTGTGTAATTGAATCATGGACAATTTCTAGCCTTGAATGATTTTCCGTCCTCTGATAGATACTTTAACAGCTTCAGGATTGCTGGGTGTGCTCTTGTCCTGTTACATTTTGCAGCCTTAACGAAGGTCTTGGCGAGCTCTGTTTAGTTAACGGCTGTGGCTGCAGACAAGATGGGCGAAGACTATGTACTTACCTAAAGCGCCTTTTGCATTAGTGTGAGTTCAGTCATCGGGAGCAAATAGTTCTTTTCCAGCCTTATCTATCCAATCTCCTCGAGGAAGGAAATTGTATAATTCACATGGTCGACATAAGCAATATTCTCCTGGGCTGCTACCTCCATAGTCCAATCTGCAAATGGGTAGTAGGTAAGCACGGTGGTATTTTCTGCATTGTAGTGAAAAGTGTCGGGTGTCGTCACGATACCGGGACGGGGGGTCAATTTCGCGGGTGTCATCTTTTCGTATGAGGACACCTGAAATGGTGTCCAGGTACACCCGAAAGAGTATTGTAACTTACACCACAGCCGGGTGTGCGCAAGTACGCGGAATTAGAAACATGACACCCCGTTGCGGCATTCTTTTAGAACGTTACGACACCGCAGTGGAATATCATATTGAAGAATTAAACTAATTCACTAGGAGCTGGATAAGTTCCCTCAACTAAGTTCATTACAAGACTTAACACTGCTATTATAACACTGGGCACTACATGCGAGTGTAAACTTGAGCTACAGAATTTAAATCTGTTGACACCAAAAAAAATTATGGAAGGGTTTGTGTTCTCTGCATGTGTAGACAGTTGAAACTGTGCCATATTTAGTCCACCAGACAGTTTCAAATCATGACTCAATATGGGCAGGTATTTCTAGTACGCTCTTCTGAAGTATCACGAGTAATGATATTAACAAAAAAAAAAAAAAATCTGAAGTATCATTAGTATTATACCTATGTATGGTGTACCCTACCTAGTATGCTGGTATCAGGTGCCGTAAGGGTTCTCGAAATCTAGTGTGCAAACTGAGGTGCATATCTTATGCTGCATTTTGGTGCCACTATGGTGTCGGGGGTTAGTGCAGTACCATTCAAAGTGATACCCGAAAAAAGTATCGGGACTAGTTCGCAAGACCCCTTGACACCTGCTCTGGTGTCAACGCAGGAACATTCATGTAGACGAAACCAGTTCGGGTGTACATGACCACCTGTCGTGGGAATAACTCAAGTTTTGCATACAAACCTTGCACCACAGTGTCTGGTGCTTCCCGTTATATCTTGGGGTCATGCTAGACAAAATAGGATAGGCACCCTTGTTACGCACGGCCGAGATCGTCTTGCGCAGGTAGCTGTTGGGTGCTGTAATAGAGTTAGCTAGTTGAACACCTTACACAGACTCCTGGTGATCCGCTTGTAGGTATGATTTCAAGTCCGGGATGCACAATAACAACCGAGACTGTTCTGGAGAAGAGTTACTCGCCGAAAGTGAGCACAGTCTCGTTTTTCTTTGTAACTGTATTGTAATGGACTTCAGTGTCACCGCCAATCCCTAGTAAAGTTTGACGATTGTCCGTTTTATCGTCGTTGTGCCCAAACCGGAAATATCCCAAGTCAAGTTAGTCGCATGCACCCATTTAAACTTTTACTATAGACCTCCACGAAATTGTGCAGTGGCCCATTATCCCCAACCAGCGCTTCAGACTCTCAGCTATCACTTGTAGCTAGTTACCTCAACTATGACAAAGTCACTTTTCTGCAGGTCGGCCGTCAACTCGTCCCAAACGCCTTCATAAATGAATGACATAGTGGACCGCCCGGGGAGGGCTCGGTTGCCAACTGGGATTGAGACAAGTTGAATAGTTCTACGGCCCAGCTGTAAAACTCCCGAATATAAGCGCGTGCCGTGGTGCCAATGTGCATGTCAGCCGGAGCTGCTTTTATAGTGATATGCTAGTCTGTGTTTAGAGGAGGGTGAATTAGGAAGACGCATTGTCTTTCATTAGTGGCTGGATCAAAGTATGCAGCTGTGCTGTTACCCGCGATAGATATCCTTGGCTCCTTGAGTATTGGCGCACGACCGACAATGGAAGCTGAACATCTGCGTTGTGGAAAGATAGCAATAGGAACTATTACGGAAATAGTCGAAATGATTTTCAGAAGGCTGAGCTGAGGGCGGAAGACGTCCATTATGCTTGTATCGATGATGCAATATGGCTAATGGCTGTTTGGATTTACCAGTCGAATTCAAATACTGTACGACAATTATGCCCGTGAATAGCGAATATGTTGATGATTATGGCCGAAAAGCAAACCTCGGATTGGAATGAGTCTCTCTGTGAAACCAGAGATCTGTCTCTTGCCCAACCGGATGCCTCGAAAAGATCTAATGGTACATGCTATAACGGAATTCGTATTGTATGTGTCCAGCTTCTGATAGTTTCCATGAAGTCCCGACTCATGGATATTGTATCTATTGACTTCTCCCGGGCCTGGGTAGTCTGCAATTGCGCGACCCCACAAAACCCATAGGATGATCTGCATGTCCTGAGCTCTTCCGCTGAATTCACTCGTGTGTAGTTGGTATAACTCCATCTCGACACGATTAGCATATGGATCCTCAATGGAGAACGCAAGTTCCCCGCAGTAGCTGGCAGTTAACAGGTATTTCCTTTCCTCCGAGGCAAACGCAAAATGTATCCTGGGCCCGTAATTGACTGAGTTACATTCTTCCTTGGGATAATATAGCGACGTTGAAAGCTACATATCTATCTTTCATCCGTTGCGCAGGAGTAGAGGTAAGACAAGAGTTCCAATTATGACGGACTAATACATGCCGTTATGCAGTAGCTTTCTTCTTTGGTTAGCCACTGGTTCCGCCAAGGGCTTATGGGCTCACGAAGGCCAGTTTCATGGACGAAAGTCCATCAGGGTCGGGTGCCGAGGCTTGTTTCAATCCAGTTACAGAAAAGCGATTGCGTTGAAGGGTTGTATAGTTGATAAATTAGGGAGTGGGCGCTATATATGTGAGAGTTGTGCTCAACATCAAAATACAACCTCAAGTCTCTGTAGCTCAGTGGTAAGCAGCGAGCGATTGCAGTCAATTGGCAGTTATCGCTAGGTCGGTCGTTCGAATCGGCCCAGGGACTGTACTTTTTCTGGGTTGCTTTTTACATCTTTCACTAGTTGTCTACTGTAAGAAAAAAAATCCCATTTTGAGATGACTTCCCGTCGGCCCAGACGACCAGACCCAGACCTTATCAGTGCTCGATCTACCAAAAAAAAATTTCAACCCCCTTCCAAATTCTAGATTCTGGCGGACCCAGACTCAGAGTTTTGGAAACGCGTTCCAAATCAAGTGACTATTAAAAAAGGGGTTAGGTAACATAGCATAAAAGACATTAAATGCTGCCAACACCAAAATTTATACATATCGCAAATTGTTTTCTACTGCAACACCTCAACTTATGCAGAAATTGAGCATAAAGCTTTCTTTCATTTCTTTGTTTATGCGCATTACACTTTTCAGCTTACGCGACAACAACGAAAGCAGTCCTCCTTTAACCTGAGGAGCTCTACTGCAAATCTAGTACAATCAGGCAGAGCCTGCGCCAGTCAAAGGGTTGCAAAATGTAGCATTCAAATTTGCTCTTTGAAAGTAAATTTTTGGTATCGCGATATGACTAAGTGAAGCGCGAAGTTGTTCGCTGACTAATCCGAAAATCTGGGAATCTAGACGTTCACGAAACCTGAATTTTGTGGTTGCGACGGGAATCGGGTCTGGAACGGAATCTGGAGGCGGGATCTGGGTCTGGTCGCCTATGATAGGCCGACGGGAAGTCATCAGTCTAGTTCCGTGTTCACACAATAAATAATATTAAATAGTGTTAGTTGGTTGCACCGACCCTCCGACCGTAAAATAGTGTTAGATTTGGTTTGGCATAGTTTAGTACAGAATTTACTGTCGTGATTTTGATAATGCCAAGGACATTGAGCAGTTAATAGTTTTCAAACCATTAAACTTGAAACACTCATAATAACACCGCTTTTAGATTAAATGGTTTTAGTGATATTTAACAGCATATACTGGACAACTGAATTATTATAAGAATAATCTTCTACCATAGTCTCCTTGAATCTTCATATATACTTAAGTATACTAAAGACAATATAAAGAATATTAATTCACTAGGTATCTGTCCTTTCTTAGCTCCAATAATCTGAATCTTGTTGGGCTATTAAGGTCTTTTGAATCTATTTGGGACTCTTTGAAGTCAATATAGCTACATGTGCGTATTGTATTAGTAAGGCCGGTAAAGTACTAACTTAACTATAGCAAATTAGCAGGAGGATTAACTTGACTACTACATACGTTTATTGATGAGTATTTTTTTTTTTTTTTTTTTTTTTTTTTTTTTTTTTTTTTTTTTAATCATTAATCGCATGCCGCCATATGGGCTATGGCGATTTATCGATGAGTATATAGGTGACCCTGACTTTCTTTACCTGTGTAGACAAGGTTCATTATACTCAAGGTCACCTGTAGTAGGCTAAGCCTAGTCTCGTGAGCCTCTTACCAACAACCCTTCAAAGTACCAAGCCTTCTAACTTAGCTTTCATATTCCTCCACTAGTAGCTCCATCCACCTCTACTTCACTCCTCTACTTTATCTGTTCCTTCACTCTATCCACTCGTCCACTCCATCCACTCATTCATGTCATCTACTCTTCTACTTCATCCACTTTTCCACTTCATCCACTCCTCTAATTCATCAGCCTCATTGCTCTATCAGTTTTACTTCACAATCGTACCTACTATATTATAATTCTGCTTTGATAATATTTAGCGGTTCAGCCGCAAGCTAATGGGAGGCTCGAGAGCAGTCACTAGAACCTCCGAGACGGGCTCGCCACAGCAGAGAGGGCAAGCCACTAGTGGGCGCCACCAAGCCACGTGAGAGTCCCTCTCTAGTTGATTTCCTGTTTGGGTGATTCCTCTCTAGTTGGTTTCCCATTCGGGTGATCCTTTTTCTGGTCAGGCAGGTCAGGGAGGCTCGGTATATAGAGGAGAGAGGGAGACGCTGGTACTCCCTCTCCAAGCCGCGAAATCACCCACCCACCGACCCCGTTACCTCAGCGACTCGGACCCCCGCGAGGGAGAGACTGGGGGGGTCCTTCGGTTTGCCCCTACTTAGTCAGCAAGAGCACGATGGACTAAGCATGGGCATTAGGGGCTACAAACCCCTGAGCCGATTTCCGCAACCTACAAAGCATGGATAGACACTTCCTCATTTGTTTCCTTATCTTTTCCGTCATTCTCTCATGTATTCCGCATAGCAATGATCATGTTTGTTCGAATCGAAGTAGCCGAGGACCATTAGCCAGCTCATTCTAATACTCGCAGCCCCACTCACACAATTTTACTTTGTTACGGGTTCACCGCAACCGTAGGGCGGGCGGTCCGTGGATGCGCATATGTGACGCATGGTGATATGCGACAGCCAACGGCGCCGCAGTCGAATGAGTGCTACATGAGCTACACAGAGGACTAGCGAGCATCGCTAGTCAAGTGTCTTTTTGACCTGGCGGACGGTAACTCTCTGCATTTACCAGATCCGTTACATACTTACTCTGGCAGTTGCTTAGTTTAATGCTCACAGCCTTGCTTATACAGTCTCGCTCGTGGTGGAGCTATTACGGTGGGCGGACTTGTAGGACTCAGTCGTGCACACGTTCATCAGGCTTCTTCTCATCTTTCCTCTTTTCCTTTTCTTTTTCATTTCTCTTTTTTCTTTACGCCTCATTATTCTTCCGTTATTCCTTCTGTAACTAAAACCTCGCCATAGCCCATTGGGCAGCAAGCGAGTAAGCAAGTTGCAAAAAAAAAAAAAAAAAAAAAAAAAGTCTCGCTCACTTTGACGATCCCCCTCATAGCTCTCACTCACAAAATCCCACTCATTCTCATACTTATAACTCTACTCCTCATGACAACTTTACTCACACAATTCCACTCATTCAGATATTCACAATCTCGCTTACTCTGACAGTCTTATCACTTGATCTCCTCTCCAAGAGGAGTTAATCACAAGTTAAATGTAGTACAGTACATGTATAATATCCTTTCTTAGCTATAAGTTATCACTCTTAATACTTTTAGACTTAATCTTATCTTCTTTTATAAAACGATAAATGTATGTACCCTTTCTCTTCTATAAAAGTTCCATCATGTCCAGCTAATTATCTTTCGCTTGTTTAGAAAATCTTTATTATAATAATTATAACAGAGATGGAAATTATCTTGTAGTTGTATAATTAATTAGAGGTAGTCTAGTTCTATAAACTGTATACTTATAATTAATAAATTTGGCAATAGTGTATTTTTTGATTCTAGTTTATATAATTGTAACAAGGATACAGTTAGAATAAGTATCAGTAGTATCAAGTACTACCAGTACTGGATAGGATACGATCTGCGGATAGGAAGCGACCAGGATGTTCAGCCTCAGGAGGCAGCCCTGTCCTCTCCAAATATTACTGTATCTCTTTCAATATTTGATACTATTCATGTGCAATCACCTTCATATCATTGCTCGCATCAAGAAGAAGCTACCTAAGGGCCTATCTCGTGCTATATAGCATGGAAACATAAAATCCAGAAGATAGTTTAGCAAAAGTAGCCGGGACCTCTCCGGGCAGGCTAGACTGGCCTGTGCGGTTGCAGGGGCGTTTATAGGGAACTGTATCGAGTCTGCAGGGGACTGGATGGTGTCTACAGGAGACTGCACAAACCTTCAGATCGCATGCCAGAATCAAAGTGTATGTATGTCGTCTATAAAACCAATAGGAATGTCTGCTTCTTGGCTCATATCTCGCTCAAACCTGTACTAATCCATTACCCATGCAGCAGTATGGCTATAGCTCACTCTTCTGTTGCACAAATTGTGGAGACTACAATTGCATCCAAGTCACTACTTCATCGACAAACTCCTCTAACTGGAGAGCAGTTTGTATATGGTTTATTGAGAGCTCTACTACTGCATCTGCTACTTGGACTATGCGAGAATTTAATGATCTTACCGAAGACGAAAGCTCCCCAGAATCAATACCAGCTCTCATACTAGCACTAGCGCCTACAGTACGCGCCACCACTACCATTTTATGACCCACTAGTTAATGCAGGCCGTGATCTCCTTTTAGGGTCACTTGTAGATGAACAAGCATTTCAGCAAACTCTGTCCTCCGAAGACTTAGAACGTTATGTGCTATTTACACTAGTGAATGGCAACGCAGCTCAGACAATAGTTTACCCGTGAGCAGCTGCCTAATCTTCCTCAAGGGTTCGCACACAGAACACCTGCGTGGATCACTGGAATGGAAGAACCCGTTACCACTGGCAGTGCTAGCCCCACCAGACAACCAAGCGGAGAGCCCAGAGCGGGAGAGACACATCAAGGAGGAAGAAGACCAGGGCTGGAAGACAACCTATACCGACGGCAGTCGAATCGACAGACAGACAGGTATAGGCCTGTGGAAGTCAACCCCGACATCCTATTACCTGGGGAAAAGAACCACAGTAAACGACGCAGAGCTCATAGCATTCGCAAAGGCACTGAACGACGGGGAGGAGGAGATACTAATCCTCACGGACTCACAGGCAGCCATAAAAGGGATCACTCGCATAGCCGAGGGTCGACCAACCCCAGGGGGCAGCACACCTGGTCAGGAAGGCCTGGGAGGAAAGGACGCGCCGGGGAGGGCTGGACATCGCCGTAATGTGGGTAAAGGCCTACATGGGCGTAAAAGGCAATGAAAGAGCCGATCGAGCAGCTAAGATAGGTGCCCTACTCCAGTACCAGACGGAAACAATCACAGAAGCCGGACTACGCATGAAGGTCAGGGCCTCCGAGCCGAAGAGAGAAGTGCCGATGGTGTGGAGAAGAAGAGACGGCAACACACATTTGGGAGAGATTCAGGGTATGGAAACGGAAGTGGCCAGGAGGGCAGGCGGAGGCGAGAGTATCCAAGGAAAAAGAAGGCGAGGGGGGGACCCTCTGGTGGACATGCTGACATGGGCTAAAACATCATGACGCAGGCAGTTTCAGGAGCGTGGACATGACGAGGAATAGTACAAAATTCATCACCATATTTCT